ATGCTGAGGACTACAGTGGATCTCAGATGGTTAAAAATCACTCTGCCATCAGCCTTGTGTCTCAAATGATACCACTACCCAAGGTATTCAATAACCACCAGAAGAGCACCGTTTGTTATGTCCTATTGCTTAGTGAGTGATTCAGTGATTACCAAATAATGCCAATGTAGCTTTTCAGATAAGGAACTGAAACAAACAATATTAAGACTCATATCTCATGTTAATATCAATATTTAGAGCAACCCACTTTTATTAAAACAAACCACCTTTTGTAAACTGTGAATTTATCCAAACCTATTCAGAAGCATACCACCTGTTTAGAAACTGAAATTAACTGTTTACTGCTTATATTAATTTTATGTCTATGAGTTTTCTCACTGATTAAAATGTAAACATATCAGATCTTCCATCTGTTTAACATCAAGAGGAATTATTTAAATTAATCATGAATTATATATTTTTAAATAGCTTCTTCCACAGATTCAAATGGGCTGCTGAAAGGTATCCCATCAACCATTGCTCCTGCATCTTTCCTGGGATTTCAAATTAATGTATATTAGGCAAAAATACATGGTTTTAAGGTTTATTTTTTTAAAATGCAGGCAAGTATGAACAGCCAACAGAACAGAACAAAACCAAGACAGCTCTGTAGAACAATAAATATTTTCATATAGCCCACAGAAATGTCAGGCTTGATAACAATATGCATCCCCTCTACATTAGGAGTCACTCACAACCCGTTAAGAACTTAAAGACAAATGTCAATTTTCTGAGTGACAAGTGTGTGCAGTAATATCTTTTATTGGACCAACTTCTGTTGATGAGAGGGATAAGCTTCTGAGCCACACGGAGCTCTTGTTCGGGTCTGGGAAAGGTAGTCCCAACATCACAGCAAAAGGTAAGGTGGAACAGATTGTTTAGCATAAGTGGTTAGCACAATTGTAAGGGACCATTCAAAGTCGAGTGGCCCGTTAACACCTCTGCAGTCACAGGACTAAAAGGGGTGGTTAGTGGGCTACAGATTGTTATAAGCAGCCATCAATCCAGTGCCTCTGTTCAGTCCATGATTTTTAGTGTCTAGCAGAGTTATGAATTTAAGCTCTCAGGCTCATTTTCTGAAAGTGTTGTGCAGGTTTCCTTTGAGGATGAGGACTGGCTAGGTCAGATACCTAGCGATTGCTTTGGGAAAAGCGTTCACCCACAGGTGATAGAGTGCCTTTGTCACCATACCTACATTCATAGATCCAGTAATGACCCCAAAACACACCAAGAAAGCAGTCGGGCACTCAGCTACTGCAGAATATGCTCTGAGGAGGAAGTCCGGGATATACATCTTAATACACTTAAAACCACCTTCACCAAACAAGGACATTCAACTAGAGAAATAGACCACATCATGGAACGGGCCACCCACATATCCTAAGAGAATTCGCTTCAATACAGAAATAAAAACCCTCTCAGACTGCACACCCCTAGTTCTCACCTACCACCCCACACGGACACATACGGAGCAACATCAATCACAACCCAAACTTGATTGGGACCCCTTGCTGAGAGAGATCTTTCCTGAACCTCCACTTTTGGCCTTCGAAGAACCCCAAACCTCTCCAAGCTCATCATCAGAAGCAAGCTCCCCACAGACCAGGACACACTAACTTAAAGTGGCACCAGATCCTGCCAAAACAGCAGATGCAAAACCTGCAGACTTATCTCCACTGCTACAATGATCAACACCCTCTACAACACCCCTTTCAAGATCCATGAATCCTACACATGCCTATCACAACATGTGATGTGGTGTACCTCATCCAGTGCACTAAATGCCCCAATAACAACTATGTGGGTGAAACCAGACAATCACTATGCTTTTGAATGAACTTTCACAGGAAAATGATAAAAGACAAAAACACCCTAAACACCTGTATGTGAACACTTTTCACAAAACAATCATTTTATATCTGACCTATCAGTACTCATCCTCAAAGAAAACCTGCATAAAACTTCCAAAAGATGAGCCTGGGAGCTTAAATTCATAACATTGCTAGACACTAAAAATGATGGACTGAACAGTCACACTGGATTTATGGCTTATTACAACAATCTGTAACCCACTAACCCTCCCTTTTGCAGAAGTGTTAATGGGCTTCAGCAGTGTTACTGAGCATCCTCAGTCCGTGTGAGCATGCACAGTACAAGCCAAGCAGCAAATCTGGTGGGGGGGGGGAGATGCACATGACCCCGCATGTGCCCTCTCCACAACACATCACCTCTGACTCTAGAAGTACCGTTTCCAGACCTGAAGAAGAGTTCTGTGTGGCTCAAAAGCTTGTCTCTCTCAGCAACAGAAGTTGGCCTAATAAAAGATATTACCTCACCCACTTTGTCTCTCTAATATCCTGGGACCAACACGGCTACAACTACACTGCTTACAATTTTCCGAGTGTCATTTTTTTCCAGTGGCTTACGGATCATGATATCATGGTTATTATTTTTAATGGTCGAAATGTGTCACATATTTGTGAACATTTTTAAATGAAATAATTCAAACAAAGAGCAAGATACCTGGGTTCTTCTAAATTAATTTGTATATTCAAAACTCAGAGTAACTTCAACTTCAGTTCAACAGTTTATTCCAATAGGTGGTGCTAGTCATTTCTGCATTAGCTGTAATAGCTATTCCTTTCCTACTCTGTTAGCAGACTCTGTTGTGAAATGTAAATTGCTGCTCACGCACAAATGAAACTAAGAAAAAGTAAATTACTTTTACTTTTATTGGCAGCTGAACAAACTCCAGTTTTTAAAGTGGACTCTGTCCAGACACATACAGGGAGACCACAAATCACAATATCAAACGCATGAACAATCAGAAGGGTTTACCACAGGAATATACCCAGGCAATTCTGTTTGGAGAATAAAATCTTCCTGGAGAGTTTGACTGCCAAGTAGCAGGCATTCACATTTGCATCAACAGTAAACATTCCTTTCTTGTTTTCAGAATGTTTTTCCCTATACATCTCAAAGAACATTTGTCCTACAGGGCGTATTGCATTCCAAATGCCAAATTCTAGCCCACCATCCTAAATACAAATTGTCCAGTATCAGTGCAAAATACTTTAGTGGTACTATTTTTTCCTTCCACCTCCATAGAGGGGTGATGCTCGGTATCTGAGGAACCCAGAAAGTAGGTTTCTTATTATATACACTGAATTCACAAACAAGTATTCTTTTTGCATCATAATGCATTTTTTTGCAAAAAAATTTAAATGAAAAGCTACGGCTATCCTAGCCAGGCTTCATATTAAATTATAGAGCCTTAATTAGTGTCCTTTAAATTCAATTAATTTGAATATTTAAAAATGAAATGGAGCATTAGAGCTTTTTTCCCCTCACACCTCGCTGAAGACCACGTTTCATGTAACTTTTCAATACAAGTTTCACATTCACAAATCAAGTTAACTGAACTGTACAGGCCTACTTAATCTACTAAATTTATGGGTTTACAACTTCAAATGATACAAGATTGCACTGAAACATAACATTAAATTGAAAATTAATTCTCACCTGAGTTTCTTCTGCAGTTAAATTTCAAAGAATGTGTTTTCAGGACCAACATGGAAGAAATAGGATTTGAAAGCAAAAACTAAGGGCTCATCTGAACAGTGGGGTAGTGCATTCTATAGGGGTGTGATTCCTAAAGCGCACCAATGTGCTGTGGATTAATTGGTCCATATAGACCCTGCTGGTACGCACTAAACGTTCCCTACAGCACTTAAAAATAGCACTGTACTTGTTAAAGCGCAGTAGGGAACCTTCAGTGTGCACCAGCAGGGACTACATGGATCAATTAAAGTGCATCACATTCATGTGCTTTACAAATCACATGCCTGTAGAGTGCATGACCCCACTGTGTAGATAAACCCCAAGTCACTGTCGTATACTTCTATGGGTTTGTCTACGCTACAATTAGACACCCACAGCTGGCCTATGCTGCAAGGTGGGAAGGTCCCAGAGTGTGGGCTCCAGCTCGAGCCCAGAAGTCTACACAGCAATGAAAAAGCCCCGCAGCCTGAGTCGTGGAAACATGAGTTAGCTGGCACGGGCATGGTGCAGGTTTTTAATTGCAGTATAGACTTACCCTCTCTTTCCAGCTAGAAGAGGTTTGATTGCTTTCCTGGAGTATAGTGGTTAAAAAAAAATTGCCAATTCCAGGAAGCATGCAAATCCCAGAGTCTCCTGTCTGGCGATACAGAGCAGTATTACAAGGCTACTAGGCCAGCTGTCTCTGTCCCTTAACATTGCTTATTGCTCTTCCTACTTTATCCATTCTCATGATGCATTGTGCAGGAGGTCAGACTAGACAATCATCATGGTCCCTTCTGACTTTAAAGCCTATGATTCTATGAGTCTGTGATTCTATGACAGCTATGGATGTTGGCTATGGAGGCATATCAAATGCTTTAGATGCCAACAAAATGTATGTCCCTCACCTACTCAGCAAGAGGTTCTGCGAACAGTGTGGTGGCCTCCCACTTTGCCTTGCCTAGAGATTCTGATACATCATGTCAACAACATGATCAGTTTTCTATTTATAATTCAAGATCAGCAGTATTATTGACCAGGCAGCACTTCCAGTTGGATACCAAACACCAGCTCACACCAGCTGAAGATTTAGCCTTATACTTGAATTTAGAGACTTGACTGTAATCAAGGTTTCACAGCAACTTGGCACCCCTTCAAAATGAAAGTTCTTAATCAGTTGCTTCTGTAAGGGAATTCAGTGATGTGCTTTTAGGTTTTTAAGTTGCAGATGAAAGGCAGGATGTGCAACTGCTGTGGAACCCCTCAAGTTTTTAACCAATACAACAACAGTAGCAATAGCATTCCTTTTTCGTGAGTGGAAAACAACAGTCATAAACCCTTCAAAAAGAAAACGTTTTATTTGTAAAACTTTAAAAAATAACTAAAATAATGCAATAGAACATTTTGCAACATACACTCACCAGCATTGGAGCCTGTCAGGTTGTAACGAACGTTTAGCTTTTTGATGATGTTTTCATGGATCTGATACCAGTCACTCTCTGTGTTGCACCTATGAAAATGGTAACATTCTTAAATCTGAAATGAGAGCTCACAGTTGTCAGACCCACTGTAACAAACTTAACTGGCCTCTCCAAATAAATCCTCTTCTGCTCACCAACTAGCATCTTGAAATTTATCTAAATCAGCAGGTCATATTGGTGGCACAATGTGGGTTTTGACATGACGCCCAGTGAAACAGCTTGCCACAACAGGGAGCAGTGTCATGGCAGCACTCAGATGCTTTGGTTGAGGATGTCACTGTAGGAATGCTTGCTTTGCCTGGGAAATTTGAGTGGAAGGGTGTCCTTGGTGGCACTCAGTAATTCAGCTCCTGCTGAATTACTCATGTGTATTAATGTCTTCTTCAGCTCTAAATTACAGTGAAACCTCCCTAACGTGACCATTCAAGAGCTCAGCAGAAACAGGACATCTAGTAGAGATTATGTTTAACTAAAGGGCAAAGGAAATTATGTTCTTAGTTTCACAGGGATAGGAGGCTGCCTATAGGAGAAAGCCATTTGAATAGATTAAACAATGCTGTAGGTGCAACAGCGTCTTGCCGCAACTTTAAAATATAGCATTTTCATTTGCTTTAATTAAAAATTTTGAATTCCATAATCTGACCATTATTTGAGAAATATTCCACAGAACTTTTTCTGGTCATTTAGACTGAAGTTAGTCTCATCAAATTTGTTCTGTTTTATCTAACTGAAGTACTAACGCCACATTTATTTTTACCAACCACAGACTTTGAAAGTGAAATTCAACTGTCCAACCAATACCTTTAACAGCATTGTATCCAACAGAGAGCACTTTAATCTAGACTGACAGAAAATTAAAGTAAAATAAAAGTCAGCCACCTGTTCACCGTCATACTAAATTGCCATCAGAAGCACTGCTTCCAGCAGTTCTAATTCAGCACAGTGGGGAATAAGAGACAGGTGAAGGGCTGCTTTTTAGAGACTGAAGTGTCTTCAAGACTCAAGTACTAAACTACAGTGGAAGAGGAATCCGTTAAGTGTCTGACTAGTGTATCTCAGTTTATACTCTTAGAATAGATCATCCCACAAAATATTTCTTAACTTATCGAGCCCAAGGTCAGCAGGGAATTCTATGTTCTGTGTCACCGCATCCAGGAAATTGAACTTTCTTTCTATCTACTATCAGCCAAAATTTCATCTGCCATTTAATAAACCCATGCATTTAAAATAATTAGATTTTGAGTGAGATGTTTTGGTTTTCCAGTCCCCTGCACTTATGGCATTGTTAATAATTTACATTTTTTGCTATTGCAGTTTTGTAATTGTTTTGCATCATTATATATAAATGATTGCCCTGCCTACTTCTTTCTGGAGTGATAAAGTACTCTTGGCAGATGTTTGGGCAGTACAAGGAATTTCAAAAAAGTCCCCAAAACACTTCACATTGCCATATAAAGATTATTATAGCAATTTCTCTGCCTAAGGTTGTTTAAGCATTTCTATTCTAATCCTCCATTTTCAGTAACTTTTAAAACGTTCTGAAACTTACCTCTCTCAGGATCAAGTCTTACAGATTTAGGCTTTGCCCAAAGGAAAATCATATTGGAAAGCTGGAGCAAAAACAATTCAGCTATTTTGGAGTATGAGTAGAGTGAAAGACAAAATACACTTTCATGATTATCAAAACACTGCTCAGACATTGAAAACCTATGGGTACAAAGCGGCAGTTCAACAGGGAGAGGAAGTGTGTATACGAACTATGAACAAATGAAAAATCACACTATCGGAAAGCAAAGTTCATTTTTCAGGGAGCTCTTGCAAAACTTGTAAAGTGCGCACTAAAGACGACCTGGCTGTAGATGAATGCATGGCTTAGCTGCACAGTGAAAACTCCAGTGAGGGTGTGCAGCAAATTGTTCACTGTGTTTCTTGTAAAATGGCACACTAAATGAAATTACACAGGCCTCGATCCTGAAAACTTAACAGGACTGTTTGCATGAGTATCTGCTTGATGAAGGCCTACAGACGTAGAAAAATGTTATGATATCCTATTGCATTATTTGATAATTGTATCCAATCAGGGCCAGATTAAAGTAACACATGCACCTCAAACTCACATATTTCCTGACTTCTGAATGTTTAATTGTGCAATTTTTTATAACATATTTTCATTTTTGAAAAAACAAACATGAAGAGTTGATGGAAATTTTTCAACTGCAACAAAAATGGTGAAAAATTCTGATTTTTTTATCAAACCTTTTCCCTATTCTTTGACCAGCTCTAAAATATACTATTTTATATTATGGGGGATTAGAATGGAAATGCTTAAACAACCTTAAAGGACTAAAGCCCTTTACTTACACTAATTAAAAGCCATTGCTTCTTGGTACAGACTGATATAAATGGACTCCAAACCTCTTAATAAATTAAAAGGAAAGAATCTCTTACATGTATACTTTTAAGATAAGGTCATCCTTTGAGTCTCCTGCCAGTAGATCTGCAATGCTGAGGACTGCACAGCCAAAGGGCCGTCGGTATTGTACGTTGCAAGCATTTTTCTTTTCTCCAGCTCCCATTCGGCCTGTCAAATATAACACAAATATGATGCATAATCCACTAAAATGCCTCTTTCTAAAGCCACAGAAAAGGAGAGAGAGCCCAGCTCAGCTGATACCTGTAGATAACTTAATGGTTTTTATGAGATTATGGCAAGCATAGTGGTTACAAATCTTTTCCATCTTTCCATATTTTCCACTTAAATTAGAACAGTAGAAAATATGAAAAGTGCATTACACTTATAGTGCATTTGTAAGGTCCAAAACTGAGAGGACACTGGTTACCTTCTCCTGAACTCCCCTATCATATACTTCTTGTTTAATATCCAGGAACTATATTCAATTGGGCAATGCTGCACCAAATTTAGCATTCAGGTATCATGTACTACCAGACATTAGGTCTTATCACATTTGTAAATATTATTTCATGACAGTTGTTGTTAATAGTCCTCTGCCCTGTGATTGATAGGAAGTGCTGTCTCTGGCCATGACAATTAAGCAGACAGGTGCTGCCACCATAAGAGGCAATTCAGTAGCATAAGTGGACTAATGCAAGAGCAGCTATTAAAGATGAAAGACGAGGAGAGAACAAAAAGAAGAGGAAAGATGCTGGAGCATAAGAAAGCAAATAAGTATAAAGAAACAAACAAAGAAGCAAAAGGAAGTAGTGATGAAAACCAGACCTTTTTCTAACATTCTTTCCCCTTTTATTAAAAAAACAATAGCCCAACTGCATGAACAAAGCAATAGCCCAACATGCAGCTGCATGTCCTGCATGAAAATAGAGGAGAATCCCTTCCTTCACGTATTCTGCTCAATGACAGCTATGCACCTTTTCTACCAGGTGCATATGTGTTTGATGCCAGTTTCTGAAATGAAAAGCACTTGGTCATAGCTGTTGTCGGAAAATGCCTCCCCATAACATTTCCCTGAATCACAGCAGCTAGGAGAGAATCTTATTCTCTAGAATCTAGAATCTTTCACTTTCACCAAGTACATTGTCCAAATCTTATTTTAATCTCAAATATTTCAGCAAGTGTCCTTGGTCTTTCAATAGCTCTCTCTCATAATCCCACATCAGTGCTATGTTTATGCACTGACAAATGGCAAACTATTTATGACTCTGCAGTGTTCCTTGCTCCTTTGGAATAAAAAGATTCTGGGTTCCCTACTGAAGGCCCTTAAAAACTGCATTGACCTTTCAAAAGGCCTGATTGTGGAGCTATGAAACACATAGAACCTATTTCAACTTTACAGAATCAGAAGACAGAGACTTTGAATTGATGCAACTCAAATAGCATATGCAGTGACTGGAATATCAAGACAGTCATACAAAATTCATAGGCATCCTTTCTGGAATCTTAAACTGATCTAAATGCAAAGACTTGAGGTTTTTTTCCTTGCTCTAAAAAAAATGGAAAAACAGAGAATTAGCTTCCCCCTTCCACCCTCTTCCTGAAACTCTGCTGACACAATGGCAGGCTCTTATTTGCAATCTGGATTGTCAATATTTCAGAAAAATGGTGAAACAAGGAGGATTCTCTACCTTGCCCTTATTTTAAAGGTTTATTCTTACCAACTTGGCTGGTTGGCTCAAAAGTTAACATTTGGCACCATTTTCTCCTCAAAATTGTTTACCACCCAATTTCCTACACCTTACTCATTAAATAAGTATATGTCTCCCAGCTTTGAAGTCCTGGTGATACATCACAACCATATAAAAAAGAAAAAAGTATACAGAAAAGATCTGAGACATTTTGCTTATTCAGGTATGTATGCATTATCCAAACCCAGCGTGCGGTGCAGATGATTATTACAACAAAAATAAAATACTCTTCAAACAATCAGGAAGAAATGAAGGTACACTTAGTGCTGTACATCAACTATATCATTATTTTACAGGCAACAATGCATATCTCTAAGAAGAGAAATACTCAGGAAAGATGTGAAGATTATTTGAGTTAACTCAATATAGCCACGAGACAATTTCTTAAAGAAATAGATTAAATAAAGTACATGCTCTTCACTTCTACAGAACTTAAGCACCGTCTTTGGAGGAAATAAGATTTGTTCATAACATGTGTTAAAATTTTCTTAAAGGGAACAACATCTCCTCCATTGCAGTTTCTTTTCCCTTATCCCACAAAAAGGGCACTGAATTTGTTTGAACTATGTAAAAGAAAGAGTACACATTGTCATCAGTCCATTTATACTTATTAAGTCTGCTAAATTTCCAGACAAGTTGTTCTACTAATGCAACATGCCTGAAATTACTCTGTGAGAGAAGAGTGGGTTTTTAAAACTCTTTATAAACTCATTCATTATGCTATGCTTTTCAAAGCTTACACAGACATACAATCAGCGAATGTGACATATGCCATAAGCAAAACTCAAGCACATTGTCTTTCCTTTATTTACTACCCAATGCCTTCCAAATGTACAGCTTATGCTGGCAGGCTATCGTACATACCTATGCGGATAATGTGCACAGTGATGTAGATGTCCTTCCTGAGTTCACTGCTACTCAAATCCTGCAGAGAATCAGAGTCTCATTATTTTTGACCCACAATTAAAGTATGACATTTAGAGATCTTAGCATATTACTCTATGTGCCAATGAAAGTGATAAATGAACATGGAGTACACTTTTAACAGAGGATTTGTTACAATACAATATTGAAAAATTACATTCTTGAACACTTTAAATTTGTGGCCATGCAGGAGTATGGGCAACTTCTGTCCTAAAATGCTATGGAACAGACTGTGCCTTGCTGCATCCAGGTTGCAGAGGGGCAGGACGTAAGGAGCTCCCTCATGAGCCCCTGCACATCAGTGATACACGACTGCAGTCCCTACACTCTTTAAAGCACAAGGATTGTTGTCTCCAAGCTACCTCTGGGTGCAGGAGAGACAAGGAGGAGGCGGCACTGGCCAGCCTTGCAGGGAGGAATATGCTGTACCTGTGCACTGGGAAAGCACCAGAAAATAGGCAGAATTCTCTCTCGTGTCCCCCAAGGTGTGGTGCAGCTCTGCAAGACCTTTAGCATTGGTCTGTGCCACAGTGACACAGCGGAATCTTTCATTAGGATTCAAATCAATAGCCAAACAAACAGCTCCGACACAGCACTGAACTATTTAATTACACAATAGTTAATTTACTCCATCTTTTATTTAAAATATTCAGCACAATTGCACGAAATGAGCATAAAGAATGTGTAAAGCTCACCACAAAGAGAGAACAATGTCTTTCTGGCTTCTCTGGACATTTTGGCAAACCATTCCTATTCAGTCTTAAAAAAAACCTCTCGCTGCAAGAAAATAAAGTATGCTGAGTAATGTTAAGGCAAATGAGACTTCATTCCGAATTTGTTTCAAAGTGAAATCTTCCTCAAAATATAGAGCAATGACATTTCTAAGAACTTGATAACAAAAAAAAGTATACTGAATGTTGATATTTTGCTTGTAATTACAACAAATCCGATATGAAATAATATTTTTTGGGCTGTGATTTTGTAGAATTGTATTCACTTCCTGTGAAATGATGTAGGTACATAGAAATATGAAAACTATAAAATCTAGGTACACTGGACTTTATTACAGGAGATATGTAATATGTTGGTAAGGATTCTAACTGTGCGTGCATTGGCATAATTACACAAACTGGCATTCAATCAGTATCTTTCTCAAAGATTAATAAAATTGTCAGAGGAAAAGGTAATAGGTAAGATGATGTTGATGATATTTGTCCCTACTATTAAACTTTAACTTCCACCCTCCCAAATGGAGTTAGACTAGATGGATTTTAGTATACTATGGAATAAGAGCCTTTATAGAAGCAGTCAGGAAAGCATTCTTTCCAGAATTCTGCCTTTAAAATCTGTCAGTGTTTGCTAAATGTTCCTGTGGAAACAAGTATCAGAACAAAGAGTTTGGGAAATTTAAGACTGTCTCTGCTAAAGCTGAGAGAAAGAGAGAATTTTAGAGCCACTGAGGGGGCAGAACCTATGAAAAAGGGAGAAAGGACATTTGTTACATTAAGGAAAGACTCCCATTGAATTGTAATAGGAGTTGGATCAGGCCCATAGGAAAGTTCACTTTATGAAACGGGCAATTCGTGTGTGGGGGAAGTTTACAAGAGAGTCAGAACCCTCCATGCTTTGGACCAATTCTAATGGGATGTGTCATAACCCTATTTTTAAAGGGTGGAGCAACAGGGTCACAAATAGTACGATGTGCAGAAAATCTATTTTTTCTTCCACACTTCCCCCCACCCCCAGCCAAGCAGCTGTCTCGATACCCCAAAGTTATAAAATAAATTACCAAGAGATCATCCTGCACATACATTTTTAACTACAGCTTTCTCAGCTGTTTCCATCTCTTCTGCCTATGGCCAAAGCCCAAAATTTTTTGCTAATGTTTTATACCAATATATATCTTTTAAAAACAGCAGCAGGAATTTTTATAGGAATATGCCAGATGAGGTACAAAATCCTGAAGATGAGTTAAATCTTTCTCGTGCTGTCATTCCCCATTCACAAAATCTGGAGACCAATCATTTAATCTAAATTATATTTAATCTGAGCTACATTTGGGGGTTGGTTTAATTTGTACAAGTCAGCCAACCTGGGCAGTTTGAATCCCCAGGTACTTAGACTTTTTATTGGAGTAGTTCACTTTAAACCACATTCCCCATTTATAGCTATCCAGTTTCCCATTTGATGGCAGAATAAGTGGAAGCTAAGCGTAGGATAGTCTAAACTCTTGTATATTTCATAGGCAGAGACTTGGAAATGTCATTTCTCAAGCACATACACATACTTTAGTATATAGCCATCTCCTGCAGCCGAAGTCTCCATGGTAACTTTAAAAGAGGGTTTAAAAATAAGGTCACTCAACATTCTGTGCAAAACTCAACTGTTTTCTGCTGCATATGAATTTAAAAGATGAAGTGTTTTTCAAAATTTATAAAAAAAATTAGCTCATTTTAATACAAATGAAATACACTAAGAGAGTGCTGTTATATCAGATATTGATCTCCGGGTTCTAAATAAACTTTAAGTTAACACTCACCATAGCAAGAATATTACTGTGTGTATTATATAGCGCTTAGGAGCCCCAGTCATGGGCCAGGATCTAATTGTGGCTGATGCCATACAAGCACAGAACAAAAAAGATGGTTCTTATCCCACATCGGCTACATAGCCTGTCTCTATGATCTGCAACCAGCAATGAATCTGAACTGTGTCAATATAATTTTAATCCAGGCAACCAACAAGGCAGTTCTGAATTTCACTGCCTTATTTCACAGTCTATAGACCTGTCCATCAGTCATATGTATCAACAGCTGTGGATGTTTCACTGCATGATTTGTGCTTAAAGCAGGCAAATGGAAATGATTGTCCAAAACAAGAACAGCAGCTTCCAGGAAACTGGATCCTTGGCAGACTTATGGTGTTTACAAACAGTTTTTATAGGCTGGCAAATGTTGAAAGAGTATGCATGCCCTCCAAAACCCAGTGCCTGTTGTAACAGCTTACTGTACATTCACATGTTACTTCATCTTTCAGATGATCCATTCATTCCTGCTCTATACCTTGTCATATAGCTAAACGGCTTGTTATCGCTTACACACTCAGCACCTCATAGCTTGAGGTATAAATCAACAAGTCAGGGTAAGAACACAATGGGCTGCCTGCCTGTAGATATCCAAAGACACTTAGCTCATATTTGGAAGGTTGCTTGCATAAACATAAGAGCTAGAAATTTATTTTTAGGAAAAAAATTACATTTAGATTCTGCAGATGTCGAAGACACTGCCCTAGAAATGCTTCCTACTTGCCACAGGTGTGTGGATTTTTCAAGCCCTGATCACACACACACTCTGCAAGGCTAAGCAAGTGTAATTCAGGATACAATTATTAAAAGCCAGCAAGCGAGCACTGTCATGCCACACAGAAATATACCGACTGCGATAGACACTTAATTGGTGATGCAGAGCTAAATTTCTCATACGCATTTTAAATGTAGTATGATTGAAGGAAAAAAACTCTAGATGCAGTTTCCACAGTAAAATCTTTGTTCAGTGTCTTGGTATGATTTAAACAAAAATGAAGCAAAAGCTACAGTTCCGACTATAACTTTAGAATACGTTAGCAGAGAGCAAAAATGAGCAGTCAGCCGTTTAAAATGTTAGGAAATGTTGATATTCAGTTACTTTTAAGTACAGAGGGCATGTGTGTTCACAAAACCTCATGGATTTCTTCATAGAAACCAGGTTAGAAAATGAATGAGAAAAGTGAACTGCTTTACTAAAAGAAAATACAGAATTTTTGAGATCTAACAGCTTGGCTTCAATCAGCCAAAACTCCAGACAGTTAAAGCTGGGGCTAGTGTTTTACTTCTCAGTCAGTCAGTCACCGGTAAATATACCTGGCAAATATGCTCAGCAATACCCAAAGCAGAAGGATCTTTTCTTTGTATTCAGGGCATTTGATTTTAGCTTAGACTTCTAAGCATTTTTATGAGTGCTAATCTCGCCACTAAAATATGCTGTGCACATTCTAGCTCTGCTGTCTTCTGACAAGAAATACAGAAATAACGAACACTGAAGAGATTAATTTAAGCAGGTCAACAAGGGATTTTTGTACTGAAACGTCCTCTGTAATACTGAAGTAATGATGTGCTCCAAATCTGCAGTTTACCGATTGCCTTTAAAAGGAACACTGCCACAAACTGTTCTATTTTCATAACTGATTCTTATTTACTTATATTACTACTTGTGTGTTATCAGTCTAGACAGATTGCCTATTATATGATTTTTAAACACAAATCTGGCTGTCTTTTTGATATTATGCCACATGACATGTTATTGTATAAAAGATTTCCTTATACTCTGGCCAAATTCCTCAGTATAACATGGTTTTAGACATATTTAGGTAGAGACTATGTAAGGTTAGGTTCAAGTAAGGAAAAACAATGAACACAATAGATACTGAGAAAAAAAGTGTTAGATAATTTTCTAAAATATTCTTCGAACAAAACGCAGATTTCAAGAGTAAAGTTAGTTATATTTTATCACACTTACAATGTGCATACACTACAGACCCAATCGTGTACCCATTGAACAGTTAGTTGCAAAAGGTTCACTGACTTCAGTAACAATAAAATCAAATCCAAAATATTACCATTACATTTAATGATAGTACACATGCAAGATGTTCTACAGAATGTCACAGATGCCTGGTATAAAGAGATAGTAAGACCTCCAAAATGGAGGTCACAGGAATGTAATTAATGGACACTGGGAAAGGTTTTCAAAAATGCCTAAGTGATGCAGGAGCACAAGTCCAACTGACTTTCAAATGGGACTTGCACTTTTAAGTCAATTAAGCATTTCTCAAAATGGTGCCTGCCCAGAATCTTTGTTGGAGTTACATCAGACTAATCTAACTAAGAATATTAAATGGTGTGTGAGAGAAAAGAACAACTTCTGAATATTCTGAATTAAGATTACATGCCAACTACTGGTATAAACTGAAACCTGACTACTAATCCAGAGAGGGAAATCAAAAACATACAGTAATTCTCAACGAGACCTTCATGGCTCTGCTGACTCTTTTAGTCATGGAGACTACAGAACTCTGTGTGCTAGCCTGCACGCAGCAATATTTTGAAGGCTTAGGCTGGGATTTTGGTATCTTGAAATGAATTTTAGAGTAACAACTAAAATGATTTTACCATAAATAATTTGCACTAATTATTTTTCACTAATATTTCATATAGAAACCATGAGTCAGAGAGATACAGAAATAGCTTCAGAAGACAAAGTATGTTTAACCAGATAGCAGGGAATTTATGATGAAAGAAACAAATGTACAATCCAGGCTGGAGCCTTACTAAATGGTAAGCTTTTATTTAAAACTTAGCCTGGCACCACAGGAGAAAGAGATTTTGGGTTGTGGTGTCATCAATACATAGCTCTTCAGCTCCTTTACGCTGAACCCAAATTTTACAGTCTCAATTTTTCTCCCAATGCCTCACTGAGATAAGGGTCTGGATAGAAGCAAATTTGCTATGACTTAATATCAATAAGATGGAAATGAAACTTGAAGACAGCAGGAAGAGTTCAGAAGAAAGGCTGGCAGCGGTTAACTATACCACAATCCAAGGATATATATTTATCTTTTATCAACCCACTGAATTCACAGTGATTGTGGATTTACTGGGGTGGTCCACAGTGCCAGGAGACTGATTATTTTTCTCATGCAGATTCTGCTACAGTCAGCACCCAGCTGGGTGACTGTAATGT